GGAGGTGAAGAAGTGTGTTCTCCACTGGTTGTTTTGACATAGTAAAGAATATGAATCTATTACCTTATGCCATTTAAAGCCATTGAAGGGTCACATAATGACTTCTTTCTCCTAAATCTCAGCTTTTTGTATATATATAAGAAAAATGGACCTACTAAGAAAAACATGGAAATGTCATAGACTTTAAAGACTAAGAAAGATAGAAGTTAGTGGATATATACACAAACATAAACACTTGAAAATAAAGTAGGTTTCAACACTGAAGTGTGTAGTTTAGAATAACACCCTAATTTATGTCCAAGTTCTGCCACTTATTAATTGTATTACCTTGCACAAACACCATCCCCAAAATACTTGTCTACATGGAAAAATATCTACTGGGGTGTGTATGTAACATATATGCAAGACTCTCTTAAAATATATCAAAAGAAAAATTCTCCAATTCCAAGAGAAGAGAAACAAAGGAGATAGATTTCTGAAATTGTCACTCTGACAAAGGAAGTAAAGATTCTAGATCAATTTAACTGGTTGTAAAACTAGTTATAAAACTACAGGAACCAAGAAATAGAGTAATTTTTCTTGTACACCTTTACATGAGGCAGATGTAACTGTAGTTTTTGATTGACACAGTACAATCTCATGTATCCAGTTACAGTGTACACAGATTTGTGATTTAATCCAGGCAGTTTTTCTACTAGCTGGCACAAGGATGACTCTATTTACATAAATGAGTTTTACCTTATTGCCTTGGTATTACAAATGACTGGAAAGGTTCCATGGTGCCTGTAACATTTTGAATATGCTACACTTCCTGGGGGGGGGCTGAGGAAGAAACTCAGGCTCTAATTTTACTAGGGTAGTGTCTAGTACTCTTAATGTTAAGGCAAATCACAGCTGTAGCTGTTTCTTAAGGTATAAATAAACCTTTTTGTTTGTTTTTGAGATTGTAATTTAATTACACATTTCTCCTTTCCCTTTCCTCCCTTTGAACCCTCCCATATACTTATCCTTGCACTGCTTCAAATTCATGCCCTCTCTTTTCATTAATTACTATTGCATGCATGTGTATACTTGTATCACTCTAGATTCATCACCTTTGACTTCCAAAAGCAATATGTCTAAATATAGTGTATTCATTGAAATTACATGCAAACAATAATTTCGATTTTAACTGATTTCATTACAAAGTCAACATTAGCGATTCAAATATTTATCGTGTTGACAATTCCATTATTTAAAAACATCCCTCTACAATATATTTTTAAAGTTAATGAATTTTGGTGTTTTTAAAAATTAATTTTATGCAAAATTTCATATTATCTTTTATTGTTAAAACACTATTTCTTAAAGATTTATTGATGTTTTATTTTATGCATGTAATTGTTTTGCCTCCATGTATGCATATGTATTTTGTGATTGTCTGGTATCAGTGAAAGTCAAAAAAAGTCATTGGATCATTTGGAACTGGAGTAATGGATAATTGGCCAACATGTGGATGCTGGAAACCAAATCTAGGTCCTCTACATAAACATAAATACTCTTAACCACTGAGTCTTCTCTCCATCCCAGGACTCTGTATTTTAAGAAAACACTTGATTCATATGTAAGCATATACCACTGGGTAAAGCAGACTTCACACACATAGTGTGGTTCATGGAAAATATGCAACACACACACATACACACACACACACACACACACACACACACACACACACACACACACACCACATTGGTCCAAGATACCAGACTTGAATCTTGGTTAAGTCTCCACTAAGAATTCATTATGTCACCCTTCTCAAAGATAGATTAGTGATCATGACTCACACACATATACACATGGATTCTGACTGTGACACTTGGGTCTTAGATGTGTGTTCCTAGAGAAGTCAACTACTTTGAGCCTCCAGTTCCTCAATTGCTTAAGATTATGATAATGTATATAAAATGCACAAAGTTTGGTACTAGTGTTAGCAAAGTACTTCACATCTTTGGGCCTCAGATACCTGACATATAAAATGAGAGAACAGGCTTATCACTAGGAAGTCCCTCCTAGCTCAAATTCTGCAGCTCAAATGAAAAATAGAGAATCTGCTTTTCTCTACCTTAAAGCACAAATGACACAGTTTCATATTTGACCTTTTAAGTAAAATAAAGAGCATTGTCTACTTTAAGTCCTACATTTTATTCAGAGTTGCCTAACTGAATCATTCTAAGACTAAGGGAATCATGTTAATTACTATAATTGTTATCTATAAATTAAAACTACTTTGAAAGATTTCACATAGTTTATGTAATAGGAGAAAAGATTAAGGTGAAAAGACATTTCCTAATAATAAATAACATTCACAGTTCATTTACAGTACCCATCACAATGATTTTTAAAAGTATAAATTATAATACCCTTCTGAATTGCTTTTAAGCTATATTCTCAAACCACAAACATTAAAAAGGTATTAGAATGGTGCCTCTAAAGAAGCCGGAATTGAAAAAATGAAAACTGTTAGAAACAAACAATCAAACAAAAAAAATCCTCTATACTAAACTATGACTATACTGCCATCAAGCAAAAGTTCTGATCTGTGGAACAATGAAGGTTAATTCGAAGTGATATTATATGTACATTATATGTATACAACTGTCAGGACCAACATGGTGATCAACTATCAAATGGAAACTATCAAGGAGAGTCAATATAATATAACAATTAAAAGTATAATGCAATAAACAGTGGTTAATACAGATTTCAGGGGAGGATACATGATACAGTGTGATCAGAAGGAAGTATAAAGTGATGGAATATCTCTAAGTAGTGTCATTTCAATGGAAAGAGTTGTAAACTAAGTTACTGCTGAGGCAATGGTCCTTTGGTCTTATTTATGAGGACAAGGCATATTTTAAAATCACTCATGTAACAGGTGCCTCCATTATGCCTTTTCCCTGACTCACTGTCAGGTGTGTTTAGTCACCAGAGGAGTCCTTCACTGACTAATGATGACTAAAATCGTGCGTGTGTGCAGTTCCTTCCAAAACAATATTACTTAGCTCCCCAGGAAATTGTTTTCTAAGGAAAAAAGAATGTGTATAGTTGTTTTCATTAGTCAGCTAGGTGTGTGGGAAGATGGTAAAGAACTGGCTGGTCTGTTCCCAACCCCTAAAGATATAAAGTCCAGTTAAAGAGTACATAATAACATACACACACACACACACACACAGAGAGAGAGAGAGAGAGAAAGAGAGAGAGAGAGACAGAGACAGAGACAGACAGAGACAGAGACAGAGACTGCACAGTAAGACAGTAGACAAAATGGTAGAAGAAAATGACAAATACAAGAACAGATATAAGGATTTTAGGAAAGGTGATCTGCATAGCCATGGAATAACACTTGAAAGGTACTGATAGGAGATATAATTTGAATAAAGCTTACAAGATGGACAATATTTAAATTGTGAAGAATAGAAGGTAACCTAGTTAAAGGTGGTGGTAGTGATGTGAGAAGCAAAATTAAAGAAGTAATTGTTCAAGAAACATTAGGAAGACAAATAATGAAGAATAAAACAAAATAGATGCTGCCATTCAAAAGGGCTAGATTAAGACTTTTGCAATCAAGAGTCTAGATTGGAATAATGGATACTTTTCTTGCTAGAGAAAATAGTATTGCAGTAATGTTTGCAGACGAATTAAGTATTTGGAGTAAATGTGTATACTGACTAGGAAGCTCCTTTAGTTACTAGAGGAGTAGTAATAAGAAAGGAGTCAACTGAGGATTAGGCGAGGAATGGTGTCAGAAGACAGTCGAAGGAAAAATTGCCAGTATTTGACAAGCTCTTCACTATAAAATCTGCAGCAAAATTCAGATTTCCCTTTAAAATGGGAATAAGTGATGAGATCATGGTGGGGGAGTAATAACCCTACTATACAGTCTTTCACCAAGAACGGATGGGCAGATTGTTCCTCGAAACAGCTGAATGAAACAGTCCTTCCGAGTGAAAGGATGCTAGACAAAGTCTCTTGAAATATAGATGCTTCCAGCAGAAACACAGGAAGAAGAAAGTAGGAAAGTATCAAATCTGAGATAGAGACTGAGGATTTATGTGATGGAGCTAAGATGAAGAAAGACAGACAGGTTAGTAAAGTGTATTTCTCTGACTCCCCAAAGTGATGCTCAAAATTCTCGAATGTCATATCAAATAAAAACTCTTTGAAGGTTGAGAGTTGGATTTATTTGAAAAATTAGTGTGCCTCTCCCATCCTAAACAGTTTGTTATCTGAGAACTTTAGTCTGCAAATTCTTCAAGCTCATTTCTTTTAGATAGCACCTAAGTATCTGGAAATTAAGAATTTGCTTTCTCAAATTTATCAGACTTCTTGGTGCTGAGTACACTCAGTAGGCCAGATGCAAAAGCTAATGGCAGATCCTTGCACTTCAAATGGCACTTGAAACATCTCAAGGCCAAATCCCTAACCTTTCCCTTACTCAGTTCAGACAGAGCTCAGCCCCACCCCCTCCAGTTAAAAGGAAAAGGCGCCTGCGCAATCTCCATGCCCAAGCTCCCTGCAGTGAACCACCCCTCCCTCTAATCAAAGTGCTTATGCGCAGGCGCAGCTTCCTCGGTGCGTTTGAGTGGGGCTATGAGAAATCTACTGTCCAGTGAAATCTAGAAGTGGTAGAATTCAATCTCGTCCATTCTTCAGAAGCAGAGGCACCAGTTTCTCTTACTATCGGGTCAATAGTATGTCCCAGCCATCGCCTCTTTCAGAGCAAGGTCCTGCACTGTGTGGCAATACCCACAGCTTCCCCATCCTCATCTCCCTTCTAATTTCACGCTCTTACCAGGTTTTGCTGGGAGGGTAGAGACAGTTGGCTTCCAAGAAGCCACACCAATTTATTGGCTGTATCTTTTAGACCACAGACCCTACGGGCCCCGTACTGGGAACATTATCCCAGTGTCTTGAAAGTCCTCATTTGCCCTTCACAGCCACCCAGGTTAGGCACTTACCTTGGGCGTGGTGCGGTCAGGGAAGAGATCAGGGGATCCAAGATGAGACCAGGGCCAGAGCAGGCGAATTCCGCGAGATTTTACCTGAGTCTCCACTGCCGCCTCAGACAATGAAATCAGCGTGTCCGATCATCAATTCTCATCATGATCGTGACGTCACAAAAGACAGCAGCCAATGGGAGCCCGAGATCAGCTCCGGACAGTCCCTGGCCTCAGCCCAGAACCCAAGAGTGGGGAGGAGGGAGGAGAGATGGCTTCCTGTAGTGGGGCTGCTTCTTCCTGGCACTTACCTGCTGGATCTATGGCAAGGCCTCTCAGTCCTTCTCTCCCAGGTTAGCTGAGAACATCCAGCATCCCTGTGCCTATAGCAGTTACAAGCCAATCATTTGAGTCAAGTGATGCCTTGTCTTCAAACTTGAGATTTGCTTTGAGCAAAATTGTTCCCCATTACCAAAACTAAATGACAGCATAAAGGTTCACCTGATAGATATATAACCAATGTTATTAAAATCAAGAAGATTCCCAAGGATCCTTTGGAACTTTTCCAATAAGAATGAATATACTCATTTGTGACTGGTTAACCGTGGTGACTAAGGTAAGAAATGGACTCCCTTCACTTTATTTCAAACTGTTTTGCCAGAAAAACTTATTTGGGTGATCATTGTTACAGGAATAAACAAAAAGTCAATCTGCATGTTATATCAGCAACACCCACTTAATGCATGACAAAAATTTCTTGGTGTCATGAAAGATACAGAATTTATTGGTTAGTTGCTGTTGCAGAATTGGCAACACCATTTGGAAGATAGAATTGGGATGCAATAAACACTGACAACAATAAAATAAAATACAAGATCATATGTTATGTCACTAACTAAAGACAGGATCTACATTGTTTTATTAATGAAATCAGCAGCAGAATGGGAAAGTTGAGGAATCATTGTATATTAATATTGTAATTTGACTGTTAGTTAAAAGAAGACACAAGCAACTGTCTTAAAGGGGAAGAGGAATAAGCAAGAGTAGAGAACTAAATATATATATACAATGAATGAATCCAGCTTGACCAACTCAAGAGTATAGACTGAGAACTGGTGCAAGAATGGATAGGCTGATAATGAAAACCTTTGAAAATAGACAGAATGCTTTGACTCAGTTAAAAGGCACCAAAAGCTATGGCTCAAGGGACCTCAATCACTTTAATCAAGGATTTACAAAAAGCTTTGACAATTTTTATCAAACAGAATTCAAATTACACCCAACTCTAGATTTCTCAATGTCTTTCATTCTCATATACTATAAAATGAAACTATTAACCAGACAGGAATGTATTTGTAGCATTTCACCACATATGTAGCAGACTTGCCTATTTACCTCGACTTCATTTGGGAAGCACCTTGAATACTATTGCTATTGAAAAAGAAACTTATTAGTGAGCAAGGTTTAATAACGTTTATTTAAATCTAAAGTGCTTTTCAACAAGATGGAGAACGGTTGGATAATTTTGATAATGTGACAAATGCACTTTCTCCAGATACATACACTGTAGGAATTGAAGTGTCTATTATAGAAGGAGAGATGTTAAAGATTTCCTATGAACTTTCTGGAATGAGTAGAATCTAATGGAATAATTCTCATGTTAAATGACTTCAGATTTTATACATGGTGAGTTATTTAGTCATGAGAGTGTTGTTGGTACAGAGACACTGTCTGGGTAGTAATTGGTTACTTATTAAGCACTCCAAAGTGTGTGTCATCTCAGAAGACTTAAATCATCTTCTTTATTCCACACCAACATATAAGCCAAATATTTATAATTTGTTCTGACAGACCATCTATCCATAAAGAAACTAGAAAATCTCAAGTATTTGAAGGGACCAGTAGTTCTCATTTTAAAATAAAAGAGTTATGTTTGAGATACTTTTGGCCAAAAAGGAAAATATATCTGAAGAAACACCCAAACTTATAATTTGTCATTCACATGGTTAGCAAAGAAAATAGCAAGATACTACAATGATGACTCAGTGGTTAAAGCACTGGCTGCTGTCTCACAAGATAAAAGTTTGAGTCCCAGCACCCATACAATGGCTCATAAATGTCTGTTACTCTGGTTCCAGGGGATCTAATGCCCTTCTCTATGGGTACCAGGCACACCCGTGGTAATCAGAAGTTCATGCAGCAAAACAGCCATACATATAAAATAAACTAAATATGGAAAAAAGAAGAGCAAAAAGCTAATTGTTCTAAATTGTGTGTAGAGTTCAGACAAGATTGGAGACAGAAAGGCCAAGTATAAATAAGTTTTTATTCAGTGCTGGGGGTATTAAACCCAGAGCCCTCCACATGTTAGATAAGTACCCTACCAGTTATCTACACACCAAGACCTTCTTTTAAGATAGGTCTTCTCTATGTATCTCAAGTTGCCTTTGAACTCTTGATCCTTCTGCCTCCATTTCCCAAATGATGTGATTAGAAGCACCTTAACCAGCTAAAATAAAAGTCCTGAGTCACTCAGACATTTGAATGGACTAAAACTAAAACCATCATATCTTTTGTACCCCTTTTACATCACTACAACAATGTACAAAGTGAATTAATTACCTAAATCCAATAGATTAATAATGTGCTAAATCATATTCTTCAATCAGATAGAGTTGATGATCATTTGAAAATGACTTTTAACAACCATGTTATTTCCAGCTAACAGGTAGTAGATGTAGGGTGAAGAACCAAAGTTTGGCAAAATGAGTTGGGGTTTCAAGAACTGGAGCTAAGTCAAGATAGAATTACTGTTCTGAAATCACTGGAACAAAGTAAGCATATTATAGAAAGGTCTCAACAGCCAGAATCAGAAAGCAAAGTCAGAATTGCAGGTAGTTGGGAAAAATAACAGGTGGCAATATTCAAGATTGTACTTCAAGAAATATTCAAGTTGGGTTACAAAAAGTAAGAATTTAAAGGACTAAGCATCATGTAGTAGATAAATTCCTAAGAGGACAGACAGTATTAGAATCTACATTGGTAGGAAAAAGTAGGCAGACACAAAGGTCAATCTAAATAAAAGGGAATCAGAGACTCCAGAAAATAAATGCAGATGAAGTCACTTTGGTATATCAAACAAGGAAATGATGAGGAGCCAAGGCAAATGAATACATAGAGAAATAATAGAAAACTAAAGAACAGAATATGGGAAAGTAAAAAGAACATATTAATGCCAAAGTGAATCTAACAAATAAGGAAAGCCAGTCAGATTTGAACTACAATTGTAATAACCCCAAAGCCGTCAGACTGAGTCCTAATGGTGGGAGGACATAGTCAGAAATACCTATCTACAATGAAATTCATGTGGGCAATAAGGGGAAGCTTGGAGCAGTCATGTTTCAACTAGAAAATACAGTGATTTTAGATGTCTCATAAGAATTAATAAGATAAGAATCTTTCATACTTGAGCATCATTTTTTCCATTAGAGTAAATTTTCTAAATGACATGCAACAAAATAATTTGGCAACGAAATTTTTAAGAATATGTTTTAGAACTTTGTATGACATTGTTATACTATCAGTAGCATTACACAGACCATATGAAAATGTTATTTCACCATTTTATAAACTCTCCATTATTTTTGCCCCTTGTAGCCAAGGTTTAATGCTAAGATCTGCATAACCTTGGAGAAAAGGCAACATCTTCCACAAATGGTGCTGAAAAACCTGGATATCTACCTGTAGAAGAATTAACCTAGATTTTCTTTCACTTGCTATGCACAAAAGTCAATTCTATATGGATCAAAGGCTTCAATGTAAAACCCAAAACACAGAAATTACTAGAGGAAAAGGTAAGCAGTACACTACAAAATATACAGGCAACTACTTTCTAAAAAATATTCTAGCTGTGCAGTAAGGTAAATAACCGACAAATGGGACCTCATGAAATTGAAAAGCATCTGCTTATCAAAGGAAATTGTCTGCAAAGTGAAGAGCAGTCTACAGAATGGGAAAGGATTCTTGATAGCTGTCCATCTGACAGAGAATTAATATATAGAATGCACAGAGAACTAAAATATCTAAACATCAAGAATACAAACAACCCAATTTGAGACAGATGGTCTCAAAAAATGAAAGGTGGATCGCTAATAAATATCTATAAGTGTTCAACCTCACTAGCCACCAGGGAAATGCAAATTAAAACTTCGTTGAGATTCTGTCTCACCCCAGTCAGAATGGCTGCTGTCAGGAAAACAAAGGATAACAAAGACCAGCAAGTATGTGGGGAAAAGCAAACCCTTACTCACTGTTTGGGGCTGCACATTATTATAAAAATCAGTGTGGAGGCTTCTCAAGAAGAAAGCTTAAAATAGAGCTACATTATGAACCAGACATACCAGTAGTGGCTACTTACCCCAAAGGATGTTATACTTGCATATCCATATTCATTGCTCTCTATTTGTAATTGCTAGGGAACAGAATCAGAATTGATATCCATCAATTGATGGATAATAATGAAAATGTGGTACATGTACAAATTGGAATTCTATTTAGAATGAAAGAAAAAATAAATTATGAAAATTTCAGGTAAATGAGTAGAATTGGATAATATTATACTGGTTGAGGTGATCAAGGCCCAGAAAGACAAACACCACTCATATACATATCCTAATTTCAAAAATTTTAGAATTATGTGTTTAAGTTGGAATGAGTACTTAGAGATGTCAGGAACCAGTAAGTGGGACATGAGAGAGATGTCATGCAAAGGTCTTTGGTGGCAGAATGAAAGGAAGAAAACATATTTGATAAATGAATATGATATGGAAGTAGTTATCAGGAAATACTAGGGTTGGTTTAAATGCAGAGGACCATGTAGAGCATGAGGAAAAGTGGAAGTCAGAGAAAGGGTCAAGAAAGTCTAATTGTATATGAAAAAGCATATGGAAAATTGCTTCTGTATAAGTCAAGTGAAAAGTACTTGGAACCGAAGTACCCTCTATGGGTTGATAATACTGTTCTCTGAAGCTACAGATTTTTAAACAAAAATCCCAGTGCCAGATTTGGGGTACCTCTCTCTGTGAGGTGCTGACTAGAGAGGTCCTGGAAGCTCCCAAAGCAATGAAAATTACTGGCCTGTCTCTTGGCTA